CCCCCCAAAAAAAAAGAAAATGGCAGCTTACAGCAGGTTTGTCACCGAGGTCTCAGACATGGAGGCGCGGCTTGGCATCGACGGCAGAGAGAGCCTGTCATAGGACAGTATGTGACCGCCCTATAGGAAAAGAGACATAGACACATAGATGACGTATGACCCCCAAGGTTCCCTGTGGGAAGCCCCCCCTTCCCCCTCCGCTTATAGCAGTTCATTGATGTTGGTTGACCTTGCACTGCTCCGCTGTGGCAGCCTCGGCCTGTTCCAATATTATCATTGGAAATTTCTCCTGAAATGTTATAATTCTGCCAAACTCCCAGGCTGCAAAGTCCACAAGGATGGGAAATTGTGTAATTCAATCTAGAACAGACGGTGACTACAAAACGGTTATTAACCTCAAACAGGTCAACAGGATAAAAAAGAACAACCAACACGTTCCAGGGGTCCTGTGAGCTCCCCCTTCATCAGGGAAATTGTGTATTATCACATACATGACATTACATCTAATTGTACAATCCCTGTACATGTTCCATTATATTTTCCAGCCAATATGTAGTTGGGGGGGTCTACTTAGAGTTTGTCTCCCTGAATACCCCCCCCCCTCCCCAAACACACACATACCCTGTACAGAAACTGGGCTTTTGTTTGTTTGTTCTGGGCCCACCTCCCCACCGCCATTCTTGTCTAGGCAACAATGACATGTCCTGCCCCTGCCATCCCCATCACATATCCCAGGAGGGGAAACAGAGTGGGCAGACCATCATGGGGGCCCAGCTGCCTGAACTTGGTTTTCAAAGGGGCTGCAGAAGATCAGCATAATGGAGATGCAATGATGGATAACAGAAATGTGGAAAACAAAAATGACACCACGCACAGCCATCCTGAGACCCCGCACAGCCATCATGAGACCCCGCACAGCCTCCTGGAACCAGCCACAGCCATCCTGAGACCCCGCACAGCCATACTGAGACCCCGCACAGCCATCCTGAGACCCCGCACAGCCTCCTGAAACCACGCACAGCCATCATGAGACCCCGCACAGCACACCTGAAACCCCGCACAGCACACCTGAGACCCCGCACAGCACACCTGAAACCCCGCACAGTACACCTGAGATTCCGCACAGCCCACCTGAGACCCCACACAGCACACCTGAGATTCCGCACAGCACACCTGAGACTCCGCACAGCCGAGACCCTACACAGCGGTCCTAAGACCCCGCACAGCACACCTGAGACCCCACATAGTCCTCCTGAGATCCCCCACAGCCCACCTGAGACCCTCCTCAGCCCTCCGCTGGAGACAGGCCAGCACCCCAGGGAAGCACAGAGCATGTATCTTTATATTATTCTGCATTGCTGTATAATGTATTGCTGGGATTTGTAGCCCCAAGTAAAAACCCCCATCAGCTTTGTTTTGCCATCTGTGTCCCCATTGAGGAGATTCCCCTTCACATTCTGTCCAATAGCCTCAACAGGAAGTGAGAGGAAATCCCTTTAATAAGCTGGAAATCCCTGGTGTCCCCATTGGAAGATTTCCCATCTATTCCTGTTCTGGTGACAACCCAGAATTTGGGATTGTCTTTTACTTATAGTGATAACCGTCACCAGGACAAATAGGGTGAATCTCCCCAATGGGGACACTGACAGGGTTCTAATCCCTCTTCACTCTATTCAAAACTAAAAACTAACATTTGCAGCTTCCCGGCTCCAGAGTTCTCTCATTAAAGGTTTGATTGTTAACTCTTGAGCATCCGCCATAAATTGTATTCTATTGTTTTTTCTGGTCCTGATACTTCTAGAACTACGTGAGCAGGAGAGGTTTGGAGGACGTCAGGCTCCAGGAAATGGGAACAATCATATGTGCTCCATCAGTGCTTTCTATAAAAGGTCCCTCCAGCTGCCCGCGCGGCGATCCCAGCCTGACTCATGGTCTATAGCAATGCCGGATATCTATTTCTGCTCCTATGGATGGAGCCGTGGCCCGGTCTCTGCTCCGCAGCTGTGAGATTAATAATCTCTCATCTTCCCTCCTGTGGACATGACAGCTCTGCTGACTGCACAATCCTCCGTCTTCCCTGAGTCACCGCAAATCCCCAGAGGGTCCAGAGACTGCCTCGTCCCAACCTTTCTAATATATCTAATCCCAAGAACAAAAATGTCATACGTTGTATCTTACTGGCCTGCATTCGTTTTCCCTTTATTGTCCTGATCCTGCCAGTAATACACTTCCTGTCCTAGGGTGACAACACTCACTCACTATACTGCATGGAGGAGCAGCATTGTCACCTTAGGACAGGAAGTGTGTTAGGAATACACTCCCCCTCTACCTATCACTATAACACAGGGAGTTCACAAAGAGACCTAGGAAAGCCTAATAACACTGTTTGAGATTTGCCCAGAAAGTTAGGTGCTCTTTCAGGGCCGGATTTACTCTCTCTGATGCCCCAAGGCCAGGTTTCTCAATGCACATTTAGCTCTGCTTGCCCAAAGCCGGGCTAAATGTAGAAAACAACTACCCTCCCGCGCCCAGAACTACATGTCCCGGGCATCGCGACATAGGAATTCTACACCCCTGCTGCCCCTCTGCTCCCTGCTGCCCCAAGGCCGGGCCTCAGTTGGCCTTGTGGGAAATCCGGCTTGGAAATCATTGGATTTCTGGCAGGATCAACCAGTATTTGCGTCCACTTTTTGCACAGATATAACAAAACACTTTCAATGGTATAATGGAGGGGGGCAACCTCAGCACTCCACTTGTAGCGAAACTGCGAATCCCATTGTGCCTCTGGGAGTCATGGCTGTGGCTGTCAGCCTTGCAATGCATCATGGGACTTGCAGTTAAACAGTAGCTGGAGTGCCGACCAATGATATAACATATAGGAGAGAGACCTTTCAACCCCTGAAACGCGTTGGATGGTTTATATGGTTTTGTTGGATGAACACCAACAATAAACGTTTTTGGACTCTTAGTTCATCGGTCTGGTGCCCTTATTGGACCTTGCATACATGGATTCCAAACTTCGGGTCTCCCAGTTTAAGGGGTACCCGATTTGAGGTTAGGAGCAGCTTCACAGGAACCGTTGCACCCCATATCACTTTGTTTGGCCTTATCTGAAAAAAAAAAAAAAATCAAAGCAACGGACTTGCTGTATTTTTCTTAAGGACGTTTCGCTGGTCATCCGACTAGCTTTCAGGATTCTGAATTGAGAAAGCTGGTCGGATGTCCAGCGGAACGTCTTCAGCAAGATACAGCAAGTCCGTTGCTTTGATTTATACAATGACCTGGGTGAATGAGAACCTTCACAGACATATTTGTTTGGCCTTCTTCAATCATGATCCATTGATGGCGCTGAATCCAGCACCTGAGTGGCAGAAATATGGAGGGACACCGACAGCAGTAAGCATGCGGGCCACATGTGGACTATGAAGAGTACTGGACACCATACAAAGGACGGTGGTGGTGAGGCTGATACCTGGTCGGCCAGACTTAAAGCGTCGCGGATGTTCAGCTTGTAGCAAACCTCCCAGATTTCGTCTTTGATCCGGTACGCGGATTTCCTCATCAGCCATTGGCTCAGATATTTCTTATCAAACTGTTCCCACCTATAGGAAGAGAAGAAGGATAAAGGCTGAACGCTCATAACAGAACACATGTGACTGGTGAGGAATTATCATTATTGATCTGGATTCACTCACTTATCCCTCCAATGGTGGTATCCATGATGGCCGACTATGTCCTCTACGGCCGCCATGATATGATCAAAAGCCTCAAAGAGACAGAAAAATCACCATCACAGTATAAGATTTACTAATCTACGTCTTCAAATACACCTCATCCATGGGAGCAGACTTCAAGCACAACTCCGGGGGAAATTATAATTAACCCTTGCAGCGGGGATACCCCCACATCAGCCCCTATGTATTGGTGCAGCCAGTGCGTACATTATAACACCAGTATTATAAAGAACCAACTCCGGGGGAAATTATTATTAACCCTTGCAGCGGGGATACCCCCACATCAGCCCCTATGTATTGGTGCAGCCAGTGCGTACATTATAACACCAGTATTATAAAGAACCAACTCCGGGGGAAATTATTATTAACCCTTGCAGCGGGGATACCCCCACATCAGCCCCTATGTATTGGTGCAGCCAGTGCGTACATTATAACACCAGTATTATAAAGAACCAACTCCGGGGGAAATTATTATTAACCCTTGCAGCGGGGATACCCCCACATCAGCCCCTATGTATTGGTGCAGCCAGTGCGTACATTATAACACCAGTATTATAAAGAACCAACTCCGGGGGAAATTATTATTAACCCTTGCAGCGGGGATACCCCCACATCAGCCCCTATGTATTGGTGCAGCCAGTGCGTACATTATAACACCAGTATTATAAAGAACCAACTCCGGGGGAAATTATTATTAACCCTTGCAGCGGGGATACCCCCACATCAGCCCCTATGTATTGGTGCAGCCAGTGCGTACATTATAACACCAGTATTATAAAGAACCAACTCCGGGGAAAATTATTATTAACCCTTGAAGCGGGGAATACCCTCCCACTGCAAGGGTTAGGTGCTCGTATTGGTCTAGGCAGGAAAATAAAAAAAGTTATACCCATCTGATCCTCTGAGCCAGCTTGCTCTTAGACCGGTCCTTCCAGCATCTCACCCCTTCCGCTGCAGAGGTCCCAGGTCCCGGAGTCATCACATTCTATATACAGTGTATAGGACGTGAGGATGCCGAGAGACATTGCATCGCATTGCATAAGCCATGGGGCTTCCCTCTGAATGCAAGGTTTAGGTGCTCGTATTGGTCTAGGGAGGAAAATAAAAAAGTTATACCGACCTGATCCTTGGAGCCGGGTTGCTCTTAGACCGGTCCATCCAGCTTCTCTCCCTCTCTGCTGTAGGGGGGTCTCATGTCCCGCCGTCATCACATTCTTTATACAGTGTATAAGACGTGAAGACTCCGAGGGACATTACATCGCTGCAGCAGAGGAGAAGGCAGGCTGGAGGGAGCGGGCCGGCTGTGACAGATCACCCTCCAGCCTGTCTTCTCCTGCAGTGATGGAATGTCCATTGGCGTCCTCACATCCTATACCCAGTGTATAGATCATGATGACTCCGGGACCATAGGCCCCTGCAGCGGAGGAGGAGAGAGGCTGGAAAGAGCAGTTTAAGGCTGGGTTCACACCATTTTCCAGACCAGATCAGGAACATAGTGCATTGCGTTTTTGCCACGATTTTACAGCGATTGGAAATTTTTTTGGTTTTTTTTAGCTTAAAATGGTCTTACAGGTGCGTTCCATGCGTTTTTGATGCATTTTTATGCGTTCCAGTGTAGTCCAGACCAGACAAAATAGGACAAGCAGTATTCTTCCGATCTGGTCTGGAATGGACTGCGCTGTTGTGAACAGAGGCCAGAAATAGCATAGGGAGCCATTAGGATACATTTTGGGAAACAATCTGGTCTGGAAAGGATCTGGATGTGGTGTGAATGGGCCCTAAGAGCAAGCTGGCCCAGAGGATCAGGCGAGTATAACGTTTTTATTTTCCTCCCTAGACCAATACGAGCACCTAACCCATGCCGTGCGGGGGTATCCCCACTGCAAGGGTTTGTAATAATTTTCCCCGGAGTTGGTCTTGAAAATTAAGTTCTTTAACATACTGGTGTTATGATCTACGCACTAGCTGCATCAATGCATAGGGGCTGATGTATAAACCTCCGGCCCAGAATGAAGCTGGGTGAATACTGTTTGCACAGCGCTACTGCCACTAGATGGCGCCAACGAGCATGGGAAATTCTATGCTCCTTGGTGCCATCTAGTGGCAGTAATGGGTGCAGAGGGGCATAGGAAATTCATTTTGGGGGCCTGGAGCTGCCAACCTGAAGAAGGGGGCTGTTTCTGGCCCTCACAACTTGTTGGCTCGGTAATAAAGTATTTTATCTGATCTTATATTGTAATAAATGTATATATAATGAATTAACTCTTGGTTCTGGTGTGTCCCTGTAGCTTTAGGTAGCAATAGGCTACCTACTGGTGAACCTGAACCCAATTCATCCTTTGCTATATACACTCCAAGATGGAGGCTCTCATAGATTAGAGTTAGGACCACACTACACAGAGGAGCCTTCTATACCAATAAGACAACCATAGGGATCCAGTACTACCCTTCCATTACTTTATAATGCCCTCTGCCAGAACGACCTTTAAGCCCCCTCCATGCCAATGTGATATCTCCTTTCTACGCCCCCCTCCCGTGGCCTTTCTTTCCTCCACACCACAGAAAACACGAGTCCGTCTATGCGGTCTGACCAGGACACTTAATTAGATGGCACGGATGATTTACCAAGGACGGAAGTACACCAGCTGCTGGGGAGGGGGGCGCGAAGATCTGAAAGGCTTACATGCTCCTGTAATTCCTCATTTAACGTCGCCTTGTGGTGGTCTCTCCTTTTCACTTTCAGCCACTTGACAAGCGGTTTGATGGTCAGGCCCTGAAAATAGAAGTGAGAGGGCGGCCATCTTTTACTCCACATACAGCAAACTAATCAGCATGTCCACACTCTTCTGATAGCCTCCCATCTCACCGAATATATCACTGTACTGGAGGCACCAATATTGTACCAAGTCTTATTAAAAAGCAGAATATGGCTTTATTATGTGGAACTGCTGTGAGCACCGAATACAATCACATGACCGTTATATTTACTTTCTTCATAATGGAAAAGCAGATAACTCTGCACTCAACACCCTTCCAAACCATTAAGCTGGCCATACACTGGTTGAAAGACTCGACCCCGAGGTTCCACCAGTGTGTGGCTCCAGAATCCCCCGAAAAACTGACTTTAGTTGAAGGAGCCAGTCCAAAAAATTTTAGCTCGGGTATTCTGACAGCTGCACACCCGCTACTTTCAGAATACAATAGCCTGGTGGGGGGATTCCCACATCCATGCAGTCACCGTACCAAATGTTTTCTTGTTCAGCTCGCGGGGATGAATGAGAAACTACTACTAGTGTATGACCACTTAAGAATGTGCCCGTTCTCTACGCTGCATCATGCTGACTGACATATGAAAGGTCATATACAGAGAAAGGGGGACACAATGGGAAAGCAGAAAGGGACACAATAATTTGCTGCAGAAACGGCGCCATGTAAACCTGAGAAACGGAAGGTATAAAGAGCGATCATGCCACTGTGATTGTTGCTCTCATTCCTCTCTCAAACTCAAACCTTGGAGAGGCCAGAGTACCTTGCTCCACAGAGAGACACTAAGGGATGGCAGCTATGCAAGTAAGAACAAGATTTTTTTATTGGAATCTGGAGGCAAGGTCCATGTTTCTTGCTAGAAATAGATCATGTCATTAGAACTGGAGCTAGAACTTATTTGTATGTGTTATGTTTTATTGCTGTGGACGAGCTGCTTAAGGTGTGTGTGGGTGTGTAGGTTTGTGTGTGGCTGTGTGTGTGGGTGTGTGTAGGTGTGGCTGTGTGTGTCTGTCGGTGTGTGGGTGTGTGTGATGTGTGGGTGTGTGTGTTGTGTGGGTGTGTGTGTGTGGCTGTGTGTGGGTGTGTGTGGGTGGACTACCTGTGCAAAACAAAGATAAAATACTTGAGGCCGTCAAGGATGTAGTCATAAAAACGGAAACAAAGATGCAAACTTCTGCACATGTAAGTGGCAGGTAGGGACCCCAATGGACACGGCTCAGGGACACCCGATCACCACACCAATATGTGATGTGTACTGTATGGGGTACAGAGCTCTGTCACATCCATCCTTGGTCTGATGCAGAGAACAAAGGGGGATATTATGAGCTCCTTTGTATCATACGCTCACAGAGCTCCAGCTGCCAGGAGGGAACCGCTGAGCCCAAATCACGGGATTTAACCCCGAGATGAATTTGGAGACAGAGAAAAGCAGAGATTGTCTTTTTATTGCTGCAATATGTAACACATCTATACAGAGATTTCATTCTGTTGCATTAGGATGCAGTTCACAAAAACTTTCTCATTGTAGACCCGACAGACTGGTATTTTATACCAACATCATCTACGGTTCTGGTTTATTCATTTATAGGACAGCAGCAAGTCCCGCTCTGCTTTGGAGTAGCTGTCAAACGTCTAACAGCCCCGCGTATCAGATACAATTGTCATTTTGTAGAATAAAACACTTGTCTTTAGCTTTTTTTAAAATATATATACACACTATATTGCCAAAAGTATTGGGACGCCGGCCGTTACACGCACAGGAACTTTAATGGCATCCCAGTCTTAGTCCGTAGGGTTCAGTATTGTGTTGGCTCCGCCCTTTGCCGATATAACAGCTTCACCTCTTCTGGGAAGGCGTCCCCAAGGTTTAGGAGTGTGTCTATGGGAATGTTGGACCATTTGTGAGGTCAGGTACTGATGTTGGAGGAGAAGGACGGGCTCGCAGTCTCCGCTCTAATTCATCCCAAAGGTGTTCTATGGGGTTGAGGTCAGGACTCTGTGCAGGCCAGTCACGTTCCTCCTCCCCAAACTCCCCCATCCATGTCTTTATGGACCTTGCTTTGTGCACTGGTGCGCAGTCATGTTGGAACAGGAAGGGGCCACCCCCAAACTGTTCCCACAAAGTTGGGAGCATGAAATTGTCCAAAATGTCTTGGTATGCTGATGCCTTAAGAGTTCCCTTCACTGGAACTAAGGGGTCAAGCCCAACCCCTGAAAAACAACCCCCCCCACAATCCCCCCTCCACCAAACTTTACACTTGGCACAATGCAGTCAGGGAAGTACCGTTCTCCTGGCAACCGCCAAACCCCGACACGTCCCATCGGATACTGAAAGTGAGCCAAGCTGACCAATGTAAGTATCCATATAAGATTATTTCTGGAGTTCCACTTTAAAAAGACTGAAGACAACTGATCGCGTTGAAGCTAATAGAAGATTTGGGGTTAAATATACTTTATGATGGAAAAGGAAACACTGTATCCATATGAAGATGAAGATCACATCAAAAGGCAGAAAAAAAGCTGATATGGGAATAAAGACCATCAAACGCTTTCTGAATAAATAATCATGAATATTAAATTATAAACACATGTACGCTCCTCTGCTGCCGCATCACAAGCAGAATTTAATTAATGTAAAAAAAAAAAAGGGGGAAGCCCCCCCAACCCCCCACCCGAGCTCAGAGAAGTACATTGCATTAGTCAGCTATTAAGTCGTCAGGATGACTGGCAGCTCCAGCCCCCTCCAGACAAGCTCCATTTGTCCTGAACCCGATGGGCGAGACGACACCAAGCTGTCATTATCAGCCCTGGATGGCGTTAACCCCTTCTTGCCCAATTCTAGTCTCCCTTGCACATCAGCAGAGTCAACACTCGGTGTCGGTAATGATAATTAAATCACTTGATGCGCACAGATGTACGTACACAATGAGGTGCAGATTTGATTTAACCATTAAAGGGGAGACGCGTCTGTGGGACGGACGATAAATCTCTGTCTGCTTTTGAACATCATACACGAGCAGGGGGGTAAATGAATTATACAATGAAAGGAGACTTAATGGACATGTCATGTTATCGTGTTAACCTAATCAGACACGAGCTGTCGCTTCTTTCGGGTAAACCGCTTCGCGACCTGCGGTTCACGGCCGATGGGTGGAAAAGCGCAAACTGAGGGGAAAGGGAGATGTGTTTGGAATTGTTGATGTCTTAATGGAAATTGATATTGTGAACCTGGCGGGAGGACATGACGGAAGATGGCGTGAAGGAGCGCTAATGATAGAAAATGGATGTACTCAGGTGTTCAGGTCTCCTGCAAGGCATTAGTGATGGGATAAAAGTCCAAGTAATCGGTTTTGCTTTGTGATAGGCGGCCAGAAAAAAGTTGGACGTACTGGCACCATCTGACCACCCTTAGGCACGTTGGCTTGACTGGTGCTTCCATAAACACTAACATTTTGTGTCTGTGACTGTTCTCATTCATCCAGGTCATGGTATATCTATAAAAAATAAGTCAAGGCAACTGGACTTGCTGTTTTTTTCTTGAAGACGTTTCACTGGTCATCCAACCAGCTTTCTCAATTACCAAATGAAAAAGGTAGTCGGATGACCAGTGAAACGTCTTCAAGCCTTCATTTATTTATTTGCAGATATTTTGCAGGTTGTATATGTCTATGCCTACCCCAAAGTGGCTATAAACACAAGAGAATATTCGTCTGGTCCAGCCGTTTATGTTTGAATGCTTTCGGCATCTCCACGGCTCTGCCTGACGCTCCCTGCCCAAGCCTGCTCATTGGAAAATCTCATTGGCCATGACAGAGTTTTCTAGACAATTGCTTTTTCCCTGAGACAGGACAATGGACGCAGCGTCCCCCTCTTGCTCCGCCATAGGCACATTCTGCCAATGAGAACTTGCCTTTAGCAAACAGAACCATCCTTAAAATGATTGCTTGGCAGCCATTGTTGCTTATGCATGGGCAGCCGTTGTCTAATGTTTGTGGACTGCTTTTACCTTTCCCAGAGAGGTGTTGCTCGCTGGGCATCTGCAGATTTAGGAAGGTACAGGAAGATCTGATACATGATGGTACATACACCCCTGGTGCCCAACCCTATGGCCATGTGGCACTTATTGTACTTACTTTTGATCAACTGTAGCTTTATGCAGCATAACAGTCATTTAATGGTATGTGTGGCCCATTGGTGATGCCAGGGGCCACACTTGAGACCCCCCTTATCAAGTACGTTGAACACCACTGCACTAAATGTCACATAAAAGGCACAGCATACGCATGTTCCAATGCACATGTATAGATTGTGGTATAGAGCAGGGTGTAAAACAATCATACCAGAGATTTTTGGGCTACACGTGTCTGAAATAAGGTCAATCAGCAAAAAATATTTTTTGTGCACACTGTTCTGGTCAGTGGTGGGAAAGGTGGCGCTCGGAGACCTGGTAAAGACTCGTGGAATGCCTGCGCATGCGCCAGGTCTCGATTCAAGATGGAGGCGTAGGAGCTGAGCGCAGCAAGAAGAACTGGGATGGTGGGAGCTCCTCATAATGGGCAACACCAGACTTCTTGGACTAACAAGTATGTTTTTTTAAATATTCATTTAGGGACAAGTGTTAGGCTGGGCACACACCTTACAACCATCGCAAGACCTGAGGGGCGGGCTTCCGATGACCGCAATGCCGAACGGGCCGTGTGCGCTTGCGCACACCGGCCCGTCCGACTTTTATCTTACGAACATGCTACACACCCGCCGAACATCGTACGATGCTCGGCGGGTTTTCGAACATGTTCGTAAGTTTAAAGTCGTGCGACCTTACAGTAGTAGAGGTCGCACGGCTTCCACACACCTTACGATAATCGTACGATCGCGGGATTTCCCGCGATTATCGTACGATTATCGCAAGGTGTGTGGGGACCATAAGGGATTAGAAATCCAATGTTGGCCCCGTATGGTCAGCACGGCTTGAAATGTGGCTTCATCAATCAGACAAGCGGGCAGGTTATGCCATCTAGTGGACGTATAGAAAACTACAGCCATGGAAAGTAAGCAGAGCTTGCAGGTGAATAAGTGAATCAGTTCAAGCACTCGGCAGGCTTTGCCTATATTACAATTTTCTTTATGACTTTTCGTTAAGTCTGTTCTAAAGTGACACCCAATCTCCCATTCATGCACATAAGTGTCTCCTTGGTGAGTAACTCATCTTAAATCTTGTAACACTTTCACTTATTTTACAACATATATTATAATGTAACAGTCTGACGTGTGTCTGTTGTGTAAAAGCTGTGTGGGAATCGCCTATGAAAACCAAAAACAAAGCACTGAAGTCTGTAATTAGAATGTACATTTTTGGTAAAAGTGGACACAAAAAACCTAACTTCTCTACACAGATCTCCAAATACATATTTTCCTCATCATTCTGAAAATGTTAAATTGTAGTTTCATCCAAAAATATTTTTTTTTAGCTATAGATGAAGCATGGTGGGCTGAGTCAGCTCCTGGCTTCTTCTATGTCTTGGATACTCCTACAGTGAGATCTCCCGGCCATCTTTGACGGTTCTGTTCCTGTCCACCTCTGTGTGTTCCCAGCTCCTCCTGTTACATTCTCCGTAGTATAAAATAAGTAAAAAATCCAGCAGGGATGGTGGGAGCTCCTCATAATGGGCACAGCGGGGGTACAGACCCGGGAACTCCGCGCAGGGATGGTGGGAGCTCCTCATCATGGGCACAGCAGGTGTACAGACCTGGGAACTCAGCACAGGGATGGCGGGAGCTCCTCATAATGGGCACAGCGGGGGTACAGACCCGGGAACTCCGCGCAGGGATGGTGGGAGCTCCTCATCATGGGCACAGCAGGTGTACAGACCTGGGAACTCAGCACAGGGATGGCGGGAGCTCCTCATAATGGGCACAGCGGGGGTACAGACCCGGGAACTCCGCGCAGGGATGGTGGGAGCTCCTCATCATGGGCACAGCAGGTGTACAGACCTGGGAACTCAGCACAGGGATGGCGGGAGCTCCTCATAATGGGCACAGCGGGGGTACAGACCCGGGAACTCCGCGCAGGGATGGTGGGAGCTCCTCATCATGGGCACAGCAGGTGTACAGACCTGGGAACTCAGCACAGGGATGGCGGGAGCTCCTCATAATGGGCACAGCAGGTGTATAGACCCGGGAACTCAGCACAGATATTTCCCCAGCAGAAACCCCAAGCGATAGCAGAGACTGTCGGGGGGGTTTTACACTCCAGAATCTACCAAATGCTGAAATATCAGTTTCGGGTGGATGAACTATGTTATTCTCATGCAGCAGCAGAACTGGAACACATAGACAGGGACAATAATAGGAACCGTGTACTGACCTGAAACATAACGGTGAAAAACACCACGACTATTGTTGTGGCCACAAAGTAATCCTTGGCCTTGACTTTCTTCCTGTCCAATAAGATCACAAGAGCGAAGGCCACGGCCCCTCGCAGGCCGCCGTATGACATCACAACTTGATCGATCCTATCGAGTGGGAGGAGTCTGAAGCGATTCAAAACGCACGTCTGCAGGATGACACCTGGAATATAAAGCAAACCTGTCATTATGTTTCTGTGTAAAGGGAATGCAGTGTGTTTTCAATGTTTCTTTCAGAAATGCAAATTAAAGAGATCAGATTATAATTAGTAATAATAAATGTGCGTGGAGGCGGCCATATCTGCTCATTACACATTCAGACTCTTTGCTTTGTAGGTCTACATGATGGTTGTGCCTTACTGCTCCTTTATACTATGCAAGCCTATGAGTTGGTCGTGATGGTCTGTCTGCACCCCGGGAGTGTGGGCAGAGTGCCGGCTGCTACGGGAGCAAGATTAAAGGTAATACTGCCTATTACTACCCATGCACTGCACCTGGGGGGAGGGGTGGGGGCAGGGTTGGGGGTTATCACTGCATTGGTATGTTTTGCACTAGCCTGGAGTATAGCTGATTGTATTGCATCTCTCTCACGCTCTCTCTGTGTGAGCAAGTCACAATGGCAACAAAAGCTGGCAGGTTTGTTTGTAAACAAGCCTTATGTGATCACATGACTGGCTGTCATTGTGATCACATGGCCAGGGACTATGCTGGCTACAGTGGGTGTGTCCATGACAGCCTGGATATACAGGAAGGTTGTGAATGACGTTGGGTGTCATTCCGCCTAGAAGAGCTTCTACAGAAGGGACTGTGCTGGAAAGAAGGGGAGTATAACAGCTGACAACCAGTGATGTCATTGAGTTGGGCAGGATGCAGAGTCCGGCATCTTCTGCCGCCCCCATAACCTGAGGAAATGTGCGGGCTGGGGGCTGGAGGGGTTATGGGGGTGGCAGAAGATGCCCGGACCGTGCTGTCAGTGGGCATCCTGCCCAACTCAATGACATCACTGGTTGCCAGGAGCTGGGCGGGACACAGGACAAGGCATCACAGATTTTCAGGAGCTCTCCCTCGGCCACCCTGATCCAGGTGCCCCCAAATTAAATGCCGCCTGAGGCTACGGTTACTGCTACCAATTTCTCTTTTGTTTTTCTTCAATCCTGGAGTTGGGCTCAACCATTCCTTCAGCACGGGGAACTGGGGAATGGGCATTACGGAAACTGTATTGAAGGAGCTACTTTAAAGAAGAACTGCAGGCAAAACTTTTATTAACCCTTGCAGTGGGGCTACCCCCGCGCTGCAAGGGTTAACTGCTCTTTTTGGTCTAGGTCCCAACATAAAAAAGTTATACTCACTCGATCCTTGGAGCTGGGTTGCTCTTAGAGCACTCCCTCCATCCTCTCTCCTTCCCACACTGCAGCATGATATGTCCTCTTGGTGTCCTCCCGTCTTATACACAATGTATTGGATGTGATGACTCAAGGATCCTTAGACTGCTACACCGGAGGGGGAGCGAGGCTGGAAGGACCGATCTAAGGGCAAGCCGGCTCCGAGGATCGGGTGAGTATAATGTTTTTATTTTGACACCCAGACGGAAACGAGCACTTATCCTTTGCAGTGCCGGGGTAGCCCCACTGCAAGGGTTAATAAAAGTGTTGCCCTGGAGTCTTCCTTTAAGAAACAATCTACAGGGACAGTAAAAATAAGATGTTTGGTGAACTGGACTCACCGATCGCCCTGAACATAAGGATAAAGATAAGCGTGGACAGGACCAGCGCCGAGTCCCACATCCACTTGGAAGTGTCCACGGCTGAAATCCCCAGGAAGATAAAGATGATGGTCTCGGAGCTGCTGGCCAGGGTCTTCATGGTGTACTTGACGGTGGTCCGGGACTTGTTGGAGATGTTAGCCTCTACGTACTTCTTACAGCACAAGCCGCAGAATGTCACCCTGCAGAAGGGAAGTGAAAGATTCCATCACCCGGCACGTTTATTAGTTTACTACATTTCATTTATTAGGCTCATAAATTTCAGATACAATCAATAGGAAAATTAAACCGGACCTATCGGTAACTTTACAAGTCTATTTATAATGAATGTGCTGCGCTTCATCTAGAACAATACATAAACATATCTCTATATTAAATGTGTGCTTAAATAATACATGCAATCAAAAAAGTGTTCACAATGAATCTTCTTATAAATAATAATCCTAGGAAAAGTTCAATCTTATATTACGTGTTCAAATATACACAAATGTGGAATCACACGTATATAGTGCTCAGGATTTCTCCTTTGTGCACCACACTCTATCCTTCCACTGTGAAAGTCCTTTATACAAAGTCCATGCGTCAACTCCAATTATCACCCAGGTGCTCCCCCTCTCAGTGGGCCGCTCACCTTATAAATAGACCTGAACGGGTCTAAAATCGCTTTAATGGGTCTCCAATCGATCACATGCAAAGGCCATCTCTCCACAATCGTTGCACAGAAAATGACGTCAGCATGTCATCACGACCATATCCAATAAAATATAAAAACAGCCCATAGCGTAAAACCGCAAAATTAAAAAATCTCCTTTATTTAAAAAACTACTCACATGAAAAAAGTAGACATAAAACTTCAAATAAAATGTATGCTCGACACCTCTCCTTGTTCTTTGGGTGCAAAAACAGATCAAACAGGAGCTGTGCTGCCGACCATGCAATCTTCAATCCACGTCTGCGAGACTCCGCCCTACGCGTTACGTAACAATTGACTTCATCTGGGGCTTGCCAGATGAACTTTACAAGTCTGCATGAAATATGCTGCATTTTGTATGGTGTGAACTTGGAACGCAGAACACAAACGTTCTCTCGGTGTCCTTGCATTGATTCAGCTCAGAGGTAGGCAACCTCGGCACGCCAGCTGCGGTGAAACTACAATCCGATCATGTCTTTCAGAGTCTTGCAATGCGTCATGGGACTTGTAGTTCCACGACAGCTGTCATGCTAAGGTTGCCTTCCCCTGATCTTGCTGATCAACGCAGCTCAATGAACGTGGTGTGAACTAGCACAGTTGGGTAGTGTGACATGAATCTTTTGCAAGGCTCCTCCCACTCGTTTTTAAGAATGACAAACTTTTTTTTCCCCCTCCTTTAAGAAGTACGTGATGACATGCAAATAAGTTTGTCGCAATAAGAACACCGAAACCCCCCATATAGGTAGCTTTGTGTCATCGTCAGATTCACCAGCAGGGGGAGCTAATGGACTGCTTGACTATGTGCAGCAATAATCTGATTATAACCTCTGCAATAAAACAGCAGCAGATTCATGAAAGCGATTCTGTATCTGTGTAAGTGTTTGTTAATGCAAAGCGCAGCTGCTGAGGGGGCACCAAGAGGCGGAAAAACTTACCTTTAATGTTACTGCCATCCTCCTTATAGCATCCATGGAACCTCTGGAGGACCCTTTGCACAATACTGACTCTCTGAAAGTTGGCAGCATTTGCATAGACTTAAAGTGACATTAAATCCTCAGATTTTTTAACATAAACCAATACTGTAATGTGTGCCTTACTCTAATCCATGGTTGTTTCCCTTCTCTTTGCTGCTCTTCCTTTTAAATCCCCATGTCTTCTCATGCTTGGGAAGAACTTCCCTTTTCAGCTCAGGGCCTCTTCCTGTAGTGCTGGCTCAGGTTTCAAGCCTATAGAAACGTATACACAGACACCGTGTATCCATTCCTGAGACAAGGCAGCCTGCTGCATAACAGAAGTTCTGCAGAGCATGAGAACAGGTACAGATTTAAAAGGAAGAGCAGCAAAGAGAGGTGAAACTACCATGGATTACAGTAAGGCGCACATTACAATATTGTTTTATGTTACCCCAATGGGGTTTCAAAAAGTTGAAATAAATGTTGCGGGTTGGATCCGCCGCCATATGGTGCCCACCATGCAGCGCTGATTTTAGCTTACTGTATGCCAATACAGGGTCACTTTAAGGCAGTGAACAAAGAACCAATTGCCATAAATCCAATGAGATGAGCTGATAGCTTCCTGTGCTCTCTGCTGAGTGGGCTACACAACACCCCCCATGTTATGACAATGAAGATGGAAGTGTATTGTAGTCCTAACACTCTTCCTATCTTAGGATGATAATGCTGCTCCTGCTTAGATACAGTACAGTGAGTTAGGGAGCAGAACACTGTGTCAAGGTACGAGACACCTCCCATTGTGTTATGGAGGAGAGGATAGGGGGAGTTGTTCTGGGGGCCGCAGCTCTTTGAGGGAGCAAAAGTAGGCGACACTGGCTGCCGGCTCCTTTAATTGTTGCGCTGACAGCAGTGTTGCTTTTAAGCAGGGATGGCAAAACTCCGGCCCTCCAGCTGTGGTGAAACAACAAATCCCATGAAGCATCTCTCTCCGGGAGTCATGTCTGTGGCTGTGAGAATCTTGCAAAGCCTCATGGGATTCGTAGTTCCACCACAGCTGGAGGGCCGCAGTCTGGCCATCCCTGCTTTAAAGGGTATCTATTATCAAAAACTAAAACTAAATCTGCATTTCTATAGTGAATTTTCATAAATTCTATCCCATTCCTAATAACCAGATCCATCTAGAAGTCTGTAAACTTGAAGATGCCCATAGGATGGACTTCCTCAATGCACTGACACAATTCACTCAGCCCTATGAATATGCACTTTTTGGCGTCACCACTCTCACAGAGCCTGAACTTCACATCTGAACAATGTAACATTATCACTGCTTGCTGGTAGCAATGCATGATGGGATATATAGTCCTGAGAAATGGAGATTGCATCACATCAAGCAGCAGGGAAAGTGATGGAAAGCACACTGGGAATCCAGGAAGTTGATGGAAGTGATGGGCAGACGGAAGGCAGCTCTCACTACAGAAAAGGTTTTTTTTTTTAAAGAAGCTTTGATTGTATTATCAGAGACAACTCCAGTATGTATTCCTGTTACAATGCTGATAGTATATATAGTAGGGATGCACTGATACCAATGCCACTCGATACTTCCGGTATCAGGAAGCCGGGCAGCTTGTAATGACATGCTTCCTGACTTCCTGATTGGTTGGAAGCTGGCCAATCAGGAAGCCAGGTGCCGTGTAATGACACAGGGCCCGGCTTTCCGATTGGCCGGGAAGCCAGCTTCATGCTCCCTCGTCACCTCATGACGAGGGAGTATGGACCCAGCTTCCCGGCCAATCAGGAAGTCGGGCGCCGTGTAATTACACAGCACCTGATTGGCCAAAAAGCCGGCTCAAAGCATGGGGACAGCTTCCCTGCTAATCGGGAAGCCGGATGGCGAGTCTTCATATGCTGCCCGGATTCCCGACTAATCAGGAAGCCAGGTGCCGTGTAATGACACAGGGCCCGGCTTTCCGATTGGCCGGGAAGCCAGCTTCATGCTCCCTCGTCACCTCATGACGAGGGAGTATGGACCCAGCTTCCCGGCCAATCAGGAAGTCGGGCGCCGTGTAATTACACAGCACCTGATTGGCCAAAAAGCCGGCTCAAAGCATGGGGACAGCTTCCCTGCTAATCGGGAAGCCGGATGGCGAGTCTTCATATGCTGCCCGGATTCCCGACTAATCAGGAAGCCAGGTGCCGTGTAATGACACAGGGCCCGGCTTTCCGATTGGCCGGGAAGCCAGCTTCATGCTCCCTCGTCACCTCATGACGAGGGAGTATGGACCCAGCTTCCCGGCCAATCAGGAAGTCGGGCGCCGTGTAATTACACAGCACCTGATTGGCCAAAAAGCCGGCTCAAAGCATGGGGACAGCTTCCCTGCTAATCGGGAAGCCGGATGGCGAGTCTTCATATGCTGCCCGGATTCCCGACTAATCAGGAAGCCAGGTGCCGTGTAATGACACAGGGCCCGGCTTTCCGATTGGCCGGGAAGCCAGCTTCATGCTCCCTCGTCACCTCATGACGAGGGAGTATGGACCCAGCTTCCCGGCCAATCAGGAAGTCGGGCGCCGTGTAATTACACAGCACCTGATTGGCCAAAAAGCCGGCTCAAAGCATGGGGACAGCTTCCCTGCTAATCGGGAAGCCGGATGGCGAGTCTTCATATGCTGCCCGGATTCCCGACTAATCAGGAAGCCAGGTGCCGTGTAATGACACAGGGCCCGGCTTTCCGATTGGCCGGGAAGCCAGCTTCATGCTCCCTCGTCACCTCATGACGAGGGAGTATGGACCCAGCTTCCCGGCCAATCAGGAAGTCGGGCGCCGTGTAATTACACAGCACCTGATTGGCCAAAAAGCCGGCTCAAAGCATGGGGACAGCTTCCCTGCTAATCGGGAAGCCGGATGGCGAGTCTTCATATGCTGCCCGGATTCCCGACTAATCAGGAAGCCAGGTGGCGATTCATTACACACAGCCTGGCTTCCCTAATAGGACTTCCGGTATTTGTATTTGGTATCGGCACTCGTACTCGATGCCGAAATACCGGTATCGGTGCATTCCTAATATATAGTGTAGTACAGGGGAAGGCAACCTCGGCACGTCAGCTGTTGTGGAACTGCAAATCCCATGAGGAATTGCAAGACTTTGACAGCCACAGGCATGACTCCCACAGGCAGAAGCATGATCAGATATGTAGTTTCACTGCAGCTGGAGTGTCGCGATTGCGTTCCTCTGGTAAACTAAATGTTGTGACTTTAGAACTCCTTTAATAGACACTTAACTACAGTCAAGGAATACATCTTTGGGGGCCATAAAAGTGTCACTTTGAATAGTGTTTTGTATATCTGCCATAGAAAAATGAAAAGACAAGAACTTCCTATTCCATATAACGGCTCCCGAGCTTGGCAATCATTGGCTACGTACATGACTGTGCGCATCGCTCATTCGGATACCAAGGCTGAATTTTAGCCCTGAAAATGGAACATGTGACTCGTTAAGCGGCCTTTTCATGGCACATTTAGGGAAAACGGACAAGAAAGAAGTGATGTCGGCAGTTGATGCTCGCTGCGTGGGCTGCGTCTCCGTGCATCGTGACTAGGCTCAGCGAAGCGGGTCACATGCATGAGTCACCGGTCCGTAACACACACCACGCTCCCCATGAGGACCCTATTCACCTTGTACTTTTCACATCTTTCTATTGACTCAGCTTTTCTGTAACGAGCTGACGAGCTGAAGAGGACTCTTATCCCCTGTAACAAGGCAACACGTGAGTGATGTGCAACACGCATTAGGGAACGCTCCGTGGGAGATGTGCGGACTGTTTAATCGCTGTTATCTCACTCCGTGTTGCAAATTTCTCTTTGTGCAAAATCTCCGGCGTACATGCGTCCTGGTAAACCAAGGCAAACGGAGACAATGGAACTGCAATTTGAACGGCTGTCCTTCATTAAAAACCACACAGGGGCCGATCAGTAACAAGAATACATATGGTTCTGTTTGTAAACTATTCGCAGAGCCATTTGCCCTGCGAATATCTCTGAATGTTCGTTCAGTGCGGATATATGGCAAAATTAATGTTATTTAGTTGTTTCATTACAAGGGAATGGATTTTCCAATGGTTTGTTTCATGAAATATCACATTATGGCCACTAGACGGCGCTGATGAGCATAGCACATAAATACTCTATTTCCTGTGCTGCTTTAGCCTCATCTAGTGGCCATAATGCGATATTACATGAAAATATTCCAACATTCAATTGACTTGTAAAGAAAAAAATGAAAGAATGTTTGTTTTGGCATACATATCGCACAGAGCGAACGTTCACAGATATACGTAGGAGAATGGCCCTGTGAATTGTTTATATATGGACCCTAAAAAGGAGGAAACGCTATAGACTTCAGCATCCCATTATAATGTTGTAACTACAAAACCATAGGACTACAGTATGGTGCCTAAGTGGCTAAGCCTCTTGCCTTGTAGTGCTGGGTCTTAGATTTAATTCCTACTAAGGACACTATCTGCATGGGGTTTGTAGTCTCTTGCTGGCTTTGTGGGAGGTTCCTCTAGGATTAGGGATGCACCAATACCGGTTTTTCGGTATCGAGTACGAGTACCGATATTGTGCAGTCGGTACTCGCCGATACAGAGTACCGATACCTGTGTTAACGCTGGCATGGAGCCGGCTTCCAGGGAAATCATGAAGCCGGGCAGTGGGTAATGACACACCCGGCTTCCTGATTTCCCGGGAAGCAGGCTCCATGTTTGGGCAGCCTATGCTGATGGAGCCGCCTTCCCAGCCAATCAGGAAGCCGGGAGGCGGGTCATTACTCGCCACCTGGCTTCCTGTTTGCCCGGGGAGCCGGCTCCATGTTCCCCTACGGCACTGCCGGTCAGAGGAAAATCTTCCTCTGACCGGATGTTCCTGTATCGTGGAAGGTATCAGAACATTTAGCCGGGTATGAGTACTCGCCCAAATACAGACATCCCAACTCTCTCGGACGCTCCGGGAGTCTCCCGCTATTAGATAGCGGCTCCCGGCCGCCTGGGAGAGATACACTTCATCCCGGAAAGGTTTACTCTGCTCGCGAGCAGAGTAAACCTTTCCCTGCGATCTTGTTTTTTTTTCTGACATGGGGAGCCGCGGCCCGATGTCAGCAAAAAAGGCATAGGAATGCATAGCTAGATTGCTACTGGCTATTTCACTTTGCAATAGCTAATAGCAACCTAGCTAATGCACCCGCCCACTGCTGCTGTCAATCAGCAGAGGGGGACCTGAAGTTTTCTATCAGGTCCTCTTCTGGTGATTGAAAACAGCAGAGGGTGGGTGCAATAGCTAGTTTGCTATTGGATATTGCAAAGTGAAATAGCCAATAGGAATCTAGCTATGCATTCCTATGCCTTTTTAAAAAAAATTATTCTGACGACTAGTGATGGGCTCGGGTGTGTTCGCCGCTCCACGCGCCGAGCTGACAGCGCCAATCACAGGTACTGAGACATTTCCAGATCTCTGCAGCTGCGTACCAGGATAATGTCTCAGTACCTGTGATTGGTGCTGCGCGCTGTCAGCTTCCTGGCGGGCTCGACACGTGGAGCTGCGAACACGCCCGTGCTCATCACTTCTGATGGCTGCAACTGTCAGAATACAAAAAAAAAAAAAAGCCTGCAGATAGCAACGAAGCTATTGCTTCCTGTGCTATCTGCCATAATTTCAGGGGTGGGGGTGCTCTCTCCCAGCCCCCCCTACCCCCCCCCCGGGGGTGGGGGGGGGGAGAGGGCACCTCCCTGAAATGAGAGGGACACCTCCCTGAAATTGCTTCTTTCCGGTTGGGATCCCTGCAAATAGGATGCTAGTAGGTTAATTGGCTTCCAGCAAAACCGGCTCCACTGTGGTAGGGAATGTGTGGCTGTGGAATTAGACTGTAGCTCAGGCCATGGGATTTGTACCAATCGATTATTTAAAGATTGATATTCAACATATCCCGGTAATCAATTTAATTCAAATATCCCTTAACATTCAATGAAACACGAACTTATATGATCAAACTAGCTCTTGTGGTCACACACAACTTCTAAGTCATTAACGTGGACCTGAACTCAAAAAGTGAAGCTTTGCTATGTTATAGCAAACATCCAGAAATGTTAATCGTGCCTATACAGTACCCAGAAAATGTACCTTTGTCTTGAATGCCACCTGAGATATGGCGGTGTACTTCCTGTGCCTAGGCACTCCTGTACATTGGGACTATAGCTGAATATCTGCAGTGTGAGATCATCTAAGGCACTGCTGCCTCAGACTGCTAGTTTGACGTGGTTTGAAGTGAGATTTGATGATGTCACTCCTGTGCTGCTCACTGTTCTCCTTGCTGGAGGGGAAGCTGTACCTGAGGACCTGCAGTGTAAGGATCTCCCTGCTTCTGCTTCATGCATTCTGTGGATCTGTGCTTTCTCCACGTCTCCTTCTACTTCTTGATCATTACACCACCAGCCATCAGGGAGGATTGAAGTAAAGCCCTGCCGCTACCAAGGTGGCTACCTCCACACAGGCACAGTGCAGAACAAGGCATGGGAAGTCAGTAATGGGGAAAGATTAGCCACAGAGAGACCACAAGCAATACTGGTGAGTTGCCCTTTGCCTTCTGCTTGCCTTTTGTGGGCACTGCTTTCAGAGTACAGGTCCTCTTTAAGATGGATCAAAATGAGCTTTCCAAACTAAATAGTCAAAACATTGATGACATTTACCCCCCTTCCTGATCATTATCGTGGATCAATGTTTGTCCTTCAAGGTAAATATTGATGAAATTATTGATGACATTGACGCCATTTTCTGGTCATTAATATCGAATGATGATAACCTTTCAAGCTAAATATTGATAGAAAAAATGATATTATTTTATTGCCACGCCTGATTGTATCAATAATAAGAAATCTGTAGAATCATACTCAGTCTGCGGCAGTGTTTAGCAGAAATGGTTTTAAACCAATCTGAATACACCATCGAAATCAGTAATTTATCGGCTGATTAGATCTGTTAAAGATAAAAAGATGTTATAGGGAACTTGTAGAAATGTTAAATGTGCCTAAGCAGTACCCTGAAAAATCTACTTTTTGTCCTGAATTCCTCCTTAATATAGCAGTACACTTCCTGTGCCTAGGCACTCCTGCCCTCTAGCCTCATAGCTGTATATCTGCAGTGTGAGATCATCTAAGGCACTGTGCTACTTGCTGGAGGGGAAGCTGTACCTGAGGATCTGAAGTGCAAGGATCTCCCTGCTGCTGCTTCATTCATTCTGTAGATCTGTGCTTCCTCCATCTCTCCTGTTGCATCTTGAATACCCCCAACAGTCATCAGTCACCGGCGTGGGGCGAATAACAGTCTGCCCCAAAGGGAACTGTCAGTGCTGACAGTACTGGAGCATGGAAAGTGCAACCTACCACTATTTTTTTTATACATGAGGAAGGGGGGGGGCAGGAGAAAGAAACATTCTGGACTTCCACTTAAAATGCCATTCCACTATGGCAGCTCCTGCACCTCTATCGCCACAGACTTTTACCATTCTGCAGTATTACATCCATACACAGACAGATATATGCAAGTGACGTGACAGCCAGGCTGTGTAGAGGTGCCCTAATGAGCGTTTCTAACAAGCTGGAAAATCTCGGTGAATGTTCCCTTAACTCAACAGATGTCAAACCTGCACCGGAAGTGTTACAGCAGGAAAATTATTGGCTCATAGGAAAGACGGTTCCAGTTCCCATCATTGCACACCTGTCCGAGTTGAAATGTCACATGGACGCGTTCCTGCTTCCAAAACGTGGATACATAATGTTCTTCCAGTCATAACAAGTAGCAAGGAGTAAAGCGTACTTACGCCAGTATGGATGACAGGGAGACCATTTCTGCTGTGAGGTGGGCGAGATAGACGATCAGGAAAATGAAGAGCGGCTCTATGATGCGCACTCGCTTGGTGAACCGCGTGATAAAGGCAAGCAGGAAAGCGAACACCAGACCCACGGCCGTCCCTCCGAGACTGACCACGAAGAAGGAGCCTGCAAGAGAAACAATGGAAGGAACAGAACGGTCATTGCAAACTATGAAGTTCCTCATGGAGGGGTGACTTGCACCAAGTTCGGGGGAAAGGTAAGAACCTCGGTTTGGTTTCTATTGTCATATTTGTCTGTAATTGAGGAGATTCCCTTTAATTCCTGTCACCATGGATTGTGAAGTGATAAGAAATCTCTCTACTGGGCAAACTCAGACGAACTGGGTTTACACCAAGCCCAAGTCCCAACTAGTTATGATGCATGTTGACATTCAATACAAGAAGGTGCATTGAAAACGCATGACAATGCCTGTTAATGCGTTTCGATGCATTTCTGTTGATTTCAACACATCAGACAAAAAACGCATAGGTGTGAATCTAGTCTTAAGACAAGCAGGGTCACCGTGTTTCCCCGAAAATAAGACACTGTCTTATATTTTTTTTGCCCCCAAAAACCACACTAGGTCTTATTTTCAGGGGATGTCTTATTTTTTTTTAATGTGTAACAAAATGTACAACAATCCAAAGTTATTTGGTATCACTCCGCCTGTCACAGTAACTGGCGCTCTAGAGGAATATCGGCTAATGCGGCTCTGCTCCCTAAGCCGCCGCCGCCTTGCTTTCTACAGCGCCGACTTCCTATGCCACCAGGGGCAGTGGTACCAGCGGTGCAGCAGTGGGGACATCAGACAGTGGCCAGCGTGGTAAAGTACGGTACCATTTACCGGTACACATTACAGTACAGTACCATTACATTAAGCAGTGCCTTCAGGGGGACAGCAGTTGGGGAAGTATGGTACTGTAGTGCTCTCTGTCACTGCGCTGTCTGGAGGGAGTCCCCTGTCATCCCCGTAATACAGTATGTCCCTGCAGGCTGATACCATCTCTCCTGCAAGTTCACCCTCATATGCTGCCACCAAACTAGGTCTTATTTTCGGGGTAGGTCTTATATTACAGGAATCTTGAAAAATAGTGCTAGGTCTTACATTCGGGGTAGGTCTTATTTTCGCCACCCACCCCCTTCCTCATTCCTCTATCCACAAATAAGACAAGCCGAACGTTCCTGTTTATAATGCCCCATTGCCCCATTATGCAAATCACTTCCATACTTTGATATTAGCATTGACTCACAGGCTTCTTGCTTGCCTCAGTGATGACAAGGGCTGCTGAGGCAGGCACGATGACGCAGGATAAATATAGCTGGCCTTTCAATATGGGGATGAGATGGGAACATTAGCTGTTTCAATAAAAAAAATTATATCACTGATGGAGCTTTAAATGTGCAGATATCCGCGTCCCCATCTGCAATAGTGGAGGCCTGAATGGCACCCGTGAGACTATTCATTTACTGTGCTGAGGAATAAACCAGCCAATCCGCTATCAGCTTAAATTGTCAGCGGGGCTTGTTAAAGAGAGACTGTCCAACATCAGTGATAGAGACGATCTAGGATCTGTAATATTTGGGAGTATGCTCGCTGTATTTGAGGTATCATCTACACCAGCGTTTCCCAACCTTTTTATAGTCACAGCACCCTTTCAAAGTATGCAAAATCTCGAGGCACCCCCGTCTAAAATGTCATAGATTTTAAGGGGGACCCCAATGCAAAAACAGTCAAAAAAGTGGGTTTCACCCTTCACATCAAAGTGCCCCCTTCAATCAAGATTATCTCCTTCACATCAGAGTCACCCTTTGCATCCGTCGCCCCCTTTCAAATCAGGAGCCCCCCTTTCATATCAGAAGCCCCAAATTTATATCAGAGCCCCCCTTTACATCAGGAGCCCCCTTTACATCAGGAGCCCCTCTTTACATCAGGAGCCCCTCTTTATATCAGGAGCCCTCCTTTCACATCAGGAGCCCCTCTTTATATCAGGAGCCCTCATTTCACATCAGGAGCCCTCCTTTCACATCAGGAGCCCCCCTTTATATCAGGTGCCCTCCTTTCACATCAGGAGCCCTCCTTTCACATCAGGAGCCCCTCTTTACATCTGGAGCGCCTCTTTACATCTGGAGCGCCTCTTTACATCAGGAGCCCCCTTTACAACAGGAGCCCCCTTTACATCAGGAGCCCCCCTTTACATCACAGTTCCAACTAGGCACCCCTGAGCAAGCCAAAAGGCGCACCAGGGTACCCTGGTTGAGAACGGCTGATCTAGAGTGCGCCATGCAGCTTTTTATGATGTTCATCATCCATGCAAGTCTGCAGGAATATTCCTGACATGTCACAATATACAGCATCAGTATAATAGTTCAAAATATCAGTATACGCCATCAGTAAAAAGCCATCCTTGTTCCCTATTCCGGGCCAGGCTGAGATGATGTCATCAGCCAGCTGCAGGCAGGAGGAAGCATATCCTCAGTCTCCTTTTCCCCGATGATCACTCAGACTATGGAGTGTAACAAGTCTACAAGGTGAGTGGCTGCAGCAGGGGCTGATCTGTGACCTGGCACGTGGGTAGCGAAGGCACTTTTTATCCAAAGGTGGTAGGAAAACACTCCCGGAGTGTCCAGACTATACATTGTAACTTTGTTGTAGGTCACAAGGTAAGAGGCTGCAGCAGGGGGTGTTCTGTGCTAGACATTTGTGAAAAATTGCACGAGTATCAGAATGGACATGATTGTGCCATCTCTGAACTGGCATCTCAGAAAGTAGGTGCTGACCCTGGATGGTGCGGCCCATCGTTGTTCAAGCATCATCCATCCAAGCTTGTCCTGTTCTATCAGTACACATTTCCTTTAAAGGAGAACTATGCGGTCAGTGTTTTTCCCCATAGTTCTCCTCAGGGTCATGGGAGGACATGTACTAACCTCCTCCCGTGACCCAAAGCTCAGTATATAGCGAGCTACAGCTCACGATACACTGAGACCGCCGCAGCCGGGACAGATCCTGACAATGCTGTTGAGATCCACCCAGCTGCCTGATTGACAGCTGGCTCTGCCTATCTAGAGGCAGAGCTAGCTGTACCCGCCCCCTTCCCGGTCCGTTCCTACAGTCAGATTGGGGAGGGGGGGGGGGGAATCCCTGCAGGGACAGGATCGAGAAGTGAGCGAGCGACGGTATGCGTTCGCTGACCTCCCGATCTATTGAGATGACCTGTGACAGTCTCATTGTCACAGGTCGGCTCTAACTATGAGGATGAGTGATTTTCACTCACCTCATAGTTCTCCTTTAAGCCTGGTATGAGTCTGGTAGGTAAATCTTTGCGCATCCCACGTTACTCACCTACTCCTTTAATATAATCGGCAGCCTGGACGTTGTGTGGGCCCATCTCAACAAAAGAGTTGAACACCTTATACAGAACCTGCAAAAGTGCAAAAAAAAAAGGTTAAGAATAAGCAATACGAGACAGTAAAAATGTTGCAGAATCTTCACAGGTACAGAACATGAAATCAAAGCGTATTATATCACCAACGGAAATAGCTTCTCGTTAATTACACCTCGGAGAATGATAAGTATTAGGAAACAAAGGGTGTGAGGTCTCAAAATGAAACTTTCAATGAAGGGCAGACGTAGTATCTGGCTTCACCTACTAAAATGTATTTCTATTTGTGTTGCTGATTAAGAGCTCCCCTCACTTCCTGTCTGGTAAAATGCTGTCAGCGGGACAGGAAGTGAGGGGAAATCTCTGTAATTGAGCCCCGAAGAGCAGTAAAAACCTGACAGGCAATCTAAGCTATCCCTCCTATCCAAAACGAGGAGCAATGTTCCCCAGATACACCTTTCACGCTGATGACACATCATGTTTGTAACAACTGCTGAGACCTGAAAGAGCAAGAACTTAAATGATGAAAAACAAAACAGCACAACACAATGAGAGAAAACTGAGGCTCAATTTCAGGACAGACTACCGAAATTCCTAAAGATTTGGTGCCATGGGTAACCAAATACCTTTCACCGGACTTAGAACAAACTGTCCTCGCAGTCTAATAAATCCCTCAGGAATGTTAAACGTATCTAAACCCAAGAATGCGAATGTCATCTATTGCGGCTGCATGGGTTTTCTTATATGTTTTTTCCCTTTATTTTCACCTGTCGATCATACCAGTAGCACACTTCCTGTCTTAAGGGGACAACGCTCACCTACCTTGCTGCATCTACGGAGGAGCAGCATTGTCACCCTAGTACAGGGCTGCAGAACACCTCCCACCCTCCATAATATATAGGTATAGTGTTCTGTAGTGCTCAGAGCTACACTGAACACTCGCCCCTCTCCTGCTCTTCCAGGCCGATACTCAGATTAAGGGTCTGGTATGGGATATGTTTTGGGTTTTTTTGTTTGTTTTTTGATGGGGCATTGAGGTCCCCCAGATCTGAAGGGTCTGGTATGACTTTGAAGGGGAGCCCCATGCTTTTTTTTTTTTTTTAAATGTAATCTTTTAACTTTTTCAGTGGTTCGGTCACCGCTCCTGCTTTGCCGAGCCGTAGCATGTTCGTTCGGCTTGGCTGCATTTGGTTATTTACTTCGGCTCAGGTACGTGCTGCTGAGAATAGCGCGTACAGCAGCCATTTGATTCAGCCGGACCGATTGCTTTTTTCTCCTGAAGAGAGCCGAGGGATTAGCCGAACGTTCGGCTAAATCCTTCGGCAGCTTTGTGAATAACCCCCTAAATGTCACTCAGTAAAGGTGTCCCTCAATCCCTTTGCGACCAGGGATGTACATACGGTAGTACACTGACTCTGTTTACATCTGTAGAGCCGGCGGCCGGCTTTACAATAGAATCAGTTCTGGCGACTCGCTTCTACGATCCGGTAAACTGCCCGCCCCCCAGCCCGACACCTCCGCCGTGTTTCCTGGGCTTCGCTGCCCCTCCGGTGGGCCCGGGATCGGCTTCTCTGGTGTCGCTGGGAAGGAGCGCGGCGAAAGTCCGTTTACCAATCTCCTCCCCGTTCTACGGGCCCGGGAGCAATGCAGATTACATCACTTCCGGTCCCAAAGCTGTCATTGCTCGGTTCCTGAAGCCCAGCAATAAGCTATTGAAGTACGATCTGCACTTCAATAGCTGATTTAAATAGGAAAGGTGACACTGGGGGTTTTTCGGACCCCCCAGTATCACCTTAACCACTTGAAGTCCGGGGTGTTAAACCCCCTTCCCATCCAGGCCATTTTAAAGACGGCAACTTTTTAAAGAGTACCGGTCACCAACATTCTGCAATCACATGGTGGGCTTGTATACGGGAGCGCCTACGTACGAAAACGATGTTTGCGATACACATGTTTGGGTATCGCCGCGCACACCTGAGTGAGAGCAATAATTCTGGGGCCAATATTTATGCCTATCTCTAAATTGATGACCTGTAGGTGCTTTTAAAATGTCATCTATGGACGTTTTGGGGTATTTTTTTTACAGACGCACACAATTTTATTGTACTTTGGGGCACTAAATTTAACTTAAGTGCATTTTTCATTAGAGTTTTAGGTTTGACAATAAGCTGCGCTAATATCGTGCAACATAAAAATTTGCAACTGCTGCCATTTTATTCTACAGGTTCTTGGCTTTCAGAAAATATATAATGTTTGGGGGTTTGAAGTACTTTTTAGGCCTAAAATGTGGATTATAACACGTAAACAAAAAAAATATCAAAAAAAGGCCTCGGTCATAAAGGGGTTAATAAAAACCCGTCTATCCCTCTTCTCCCTGCTAGCCCCCCTTTTGCATCTCTTCTATGCCCTCAAATCTATAAAGCAACGTTTCCGTATTGACGCAGTGTAAGGCTCCTCATACTTTTCAGGTCAGTCTTTTCTGCAGGACTCGGCCGCCGGGGGAAACTGGGTTATTAACGCACAATATATAAAAATCGCACTCCCGCGATGCATACAGAACTGCGACCGAGGGAGGTCTCCCCGGAAACGCTGAGACTTTCATAAAATGTAATTGCCGTTATCGATCACGTTTGGAAACTCTTGTTTAGTTTTCAGTAACCCCTCGCGGGGCCGCACATAATACACAATTGAACTGACGTGCAGTATATTGTTGTGGAGTGTTGCTGAGATTACTAACTGTAACAATTAAAAACATATACCTGCCTTAGATCTCACGCTGCTGATATACCGCCGTCAGTCTGTAGGCGCAGGACGTTCACTGCTGACTTTGTATGGAGGAACTCAAAACTAAAAGTACTTACTGAACAGGTACCATTAATATGACTAGACAGAGCTGCATGGAGATCTTCCTATATCTGCACAAGGTGATATATTAGGCATTGGAGATGTTCTCTCGAAGCTCGGACCAGCCTATTGTTCCAGGATGTTATCAGTCACATTTCATTAGGACAGCTGATGGACATACAACTCTCTGACCTACTCTAGTCAACTTGCTGTTGTACATCCTTGGAATGCATTTCCACTCTCTTCCTGACCCAGGGACAACCTACATACTGACACTACATACTGCTCACTGCACTGCCACTACATACTGCTCCCGGCCACTACATACTGCTCCAGGCCACTACATACTGCTCACTGACCTGCCACTGCATACTGCTCATTGCCCTGCCACTACATACTGCTCCCTGTCCAGACACCACATACTGCTCCCTGCCCTGACACTACATACTGCTCACTGCCCTGCCACTACATACTGCTCCCTGCCCACACACTACATACTGATGCCTGCCCTGACACTACATACCGCTCCCTGCCACTACATACTGATGCCTGCCCTGACACTACAAACTGCTCCCTGCCACTACATACTGATGCCTGCCCTGACACTACATACTGCTCCCTGCCACTACATACTGCTCCCAGCCATGCCACTACATACTGCTCCCTGCCACTACATACTGATGCCTGCCCTGCCACTACATACTGATGCCTGCCCTGACACTACATACTGCTCCCAGCCATGCCACTACATACTGCTCCCTGACACTACATACTGCCCCCTGCCACTACATACTGATGCCTGCCATGCCACTACATACTGCTCCCTGCCACTACATACTGATGCCTGCCCTGACACTACATACTGATGCCTGCCCTGACACTACATACTGCTCCCTGACACTACATTCTGCTCCCTGCTCTGCCACTTTTCACTATCCACTGTTTATAACAATTTATCCACATACTGGGGCCCCCCATTGCGCACACTGGCATCGAGAGCCACACATTGATCAGGCAAGGGGAGAAGGGGGCTGTCAGGGGGGCTATACAGGGCCCCATCATTTCTAATGTCAGCCCTGATAACCTACATGGAAACACATTGCCTGATTGCTTTAAGATTGTCATTAATCTTTCCTGTTTCACAGGAAGTGCCACGTCATTGTCCATTCAAACGCACACATCGCATCTAGAGCACGACGTCCCGGTGTGACCGTCACCACAAATAAAGAGCGAGGGAAAACAGATCAATAATAGCAATTACTGGTCAGAAAGGAAAAAGGAGCTTTATAATCCGCGTTCTAGACAAGAACTACATTTCTGCCTTCAATTTTATGAAATTTGCGGCCATACGGATTTCCGGGGAGCGCAGACTGACCGGCTGTCAGTACAGCCTGATATGCATGTCAATGTGTCACCATGAAAACATCAATAAAGATTACCTTCCCTGAAAACCTCAAATCAAAAGCATAAAGAGAAAGATAGAAGAAGCTGAAGTTATATGCCGGTCTTGTATCTTTCCATGAGCTTGGCCCAGTCCCCCTATTGTGCTTTTAATGTGATAGGCAGCCACACTGTCCAATAGGGAAGCTCTGGAGTTGGGCGGAACCAAGCTCAACTCCAAAGTTGAGATTTGGATAGAACTTCAGCTGCCAAAATGTAACCATTTCAAGGTTTTAAAAAGTACCTTCTGATGCTTTTATTTTTTTCCACTCGCTTATCCCGTCTGCCTGCACCCCTCGCCAGCGCCATTTCCAAGAGCGACCACTCGTGGATCACGCACTGCGGCTTTGTGTCCCAGAAAAAAGTGTCCCAGTGCCCCAGGAAGTGACGTGGGCACCTTAAGAAGGCCACACCTAATCTGCTTTGGTTTCAGAGAATATTTACTACATCATACTGTGATTGCTCCACCATGTCGGTTATATCAAAACTGAATGGAACATAGCCTGAAGCCCTGAATGAGCCATAACCGCTAGGTCAAGGGTAGCCAGACTCCGGCCCTCCAGCTGTGGTGGCATTGCAAGATTTGCACAGCCGCAGACATGACTCCCGGAGAGAGATGCATCATGGGATTTGTAGTTTCACCACAGCTGGAGGGCCAGAGTTTGGCTACCCCTGCTCTAGGAGGCCTTAAACATAGCCCCGCCCCCGTCTTTTTACTGCTTTATCGGGTACTTTAGCAGATGACAAAGGCACCTTGTTGCATAGTGGAATGGTGATAAAGGTTGCCAGGACCTTAAAGACATATTCCACTTTTTGCAAAAAATTAACGATTACACCCATATTGCAAAAAGAAAAATACGAGCATTGTTGTGCATCAGAGCCTGCAAAGCATTGCAACTGCTATCAGCGCATGGCGGGTGCAACGCACAGGCTCCTGCAGACTATTCCCCCAGCCCCAAGTCCGCACCTTCGGTCATGAAGCTGTAGAAAAGCTATCAATGGAATAAGAGTGCAGTGACGTCACCACACTTGTACTCCATTGAGATCTATGAGTCCCACCTGCCGCAGTCTTTTCATTCACAGATGCTTTGCAGACACTTCCTGTCTACATGCATTCCACCGATGGCTGCACGGCATTTCTCAGGGTCGGTTTCCCAATGGTGACAACAATGGACCATGCTTCGAAATGGTCTCTTGTAGCCTCCATCGGAAACCAGTGAGACAAGGTGACAACGCAGAAGCACAATTGGGAGACAGTGATAGGGCATTGTCACCCTATAACAGGAAATGCATGGACAAGGACCTTCATGGCAGGATCACCGGGGATTATTTTAATAAAAGCTGCTGATTTACAAATACTGAAGACCACTTTAAATTCTGTTATTATGTTAAAGCTTCTATAAGATTTCATTGATTGGGAGCACATGTACTTTCGCTCTTCTGCGCTGTCACCGCCAGTCTGGATGCATCTGTCATATGTCAGCAGTGCATGTGATCAGAATGTTCATGATAAGTGCAGCAGTTGGTCGTCTTCTCTGATACCATCTGATTCTAATAATAATCGTATAGATGGATCAGCCAAGAGAGAGAGCGAGAGAGAGAGAGACACGACAGAGAGAGAGAGAGAGACAGGACAGACAGAGAGAGAGAGACAGGACAGAGAGAGAGAGAGACACGACAGCGAGAGAGATACGACAGAGAGAGAGAGAGAGAGCGCGACACGACAGAGAGAGGGAGAGAGAGAGAGACAGGACAGACAGAGAGAGAGAGAGACAGGACAGACAGAGAGAGAGAGAGACAGGACAGACAGAGAGAGAGAGAGACAGGACAGAGAGAGAGACAGGACAGAGAGAGAGAGAGAGAGAGAGAGACAGGACAGAGAGAAAGAGAGAGACAGGACAGAGAGAGAGAGAGACAGGACAGAGAGAAAGAGAGAGAGAGACAGGACAGAGAGAGGGAGAGGGGGAGAGAGAGAGAGAGACACGACAGAGAGAGGGAGAGAGAGGGTCATGACAGAGAGGGAGAGAGAGAGAGTCACGACAGAGAGAGAGAGATAGACGAGAGAGAGGGAGAGAGAGAGAGACGACAGAGAGACACGACAGAGAGAGGGAGAGAGAGACACGACAGAGAGAGAGAGAGACACGATAGATAGAGACACGACAGAGAGAAGGAGACACAATGGAGAGAGAGAGGGAGAGAGACACGACAGAGAGAGGGAGAGAGACACAACAGTGAGAGGGAGAGAGAGGGGGAGAGAGAGAGACACGACAGAGAGAGAGAGGGGGAAAGAGAGAGGGGGAGAGAGACACGACAGAGAGAGGGAGGGGGGGAAGAGAGAGAGGGGGAGAGAGAGACACGACAGAGAGAGGGAGGGGGTAAAGAGAGAGAGACACGACAGGGAGGGGGAGGGAAAGAGAGAGAGACACGACAGAGAGAGGGAGGGAAAGAGAGAGAGACACGACAGAGAGAGGGAGAGAGAGATACGACATAGATGGAGAGAGACAGACACGACAGAGAGAGAGAGAAACACGACAGAAAGAGGGGGGAGAGAGAGTGACACGAGAGAGAGAGGGAGGGGGAAAGAGAGAGGGGGAGAGAGACACGACAGAGAGAGGGAGGGGGGAAAGAGAGAGAGGGGAGAGAGAGACACGACAGAGAGAGGGAGGGGGAAAAGAGAGAGAGACATGACAGAGAGAGGGAGGGAAAGAGAAAGAGAGAGAGACACGACAGAGAGAGGGAGAGAGACAGACACGACAGAGAGAGAGAGAAACACGACAGAAAGAGAGAGAGAGACCCGAAAGAGAGAGAGACCCGAGAGAGAGAGAGAGACAGAGAGACACAGAGAGAGAGAAACACAGAGAGAGAGAGAGAGAAAGAGACACACACACACGACAGAGGTCTACGTGTCACTCAGACTGATGAATAAGAGATGAGACCAGCAGGGCGGCTCCATTCCAAAAGGTTCTGAATCGACACATTTTAAAGTGTGAGATATGAACATTAGATTGTAAGCTCTTGGGGGCAGGGACTGATGTAAATAAATGAGATACCACGGCTGTCTCGGTTGATGTGCTGGGTTCAGGGCCGCGATTTTCGAGGGTCATTTACTGAAGTCACAGCCACCATGCAGATTTACTGCAAAACTAAACATTTGTTCTATGGTGGGAAATATGGCACCTACCACGGTGACGGCGTCGTTCAGCAGAGACTCTCCAAACACAATGATGAAAAGCGTCTCGTTGACATGGACCTCCTCGAACACGGCCAGCACAGCCACAGGGTCCACGGCAGAAATGAGGCTTCCAAAGAGCAGGAAATCCATCAAGCCGGCTTCTACCTTAGGATCTGAAGGAAGAAGGGGTAAAAATGAGAAAATATTCTGACCGCTATTACACAGCACGCTCGCCATGGGAATAGGGACCTGTGGCGGCTCCTTTATGCTGATCATGCTGACATTACAATCTCCACGATCGTCTTTATAGCTGCCATCCACTATGTACAGCAAGGGTCTGTGTGGCTGGATATAAATTTATGGGTCCATGTTACCACCATGACCAAATCCCAGCAATGCATTATACAGCAATGCAGAATACCATCAGCTATGCAGGACTACAAATCCCAGCAATACATTGTACAGCAATGCAGAATAATACCTTTTTGTTTCACTCTCACTGTGTATTTAGCTGTGTGGCCAGAGTTCTGCTTTAACATTTTGCAGGTTGCCCGCACTCTCATAGGATAATTGGTATGCACGCATTCTTTTCCGTGGAACACAGCCGAGCGGAAATCTGTCTTGATTTCTTGAAATGGAAACATCAGCTATTTTCTCGTCTCCACTAACAGCATGTTATTATCCATCATCTCTCACACACAAACATTTTGCGGAGCGCTCCGGATTATAGGCATCGTGTTACCGGCAATCTGAGCGGCGCGGTTCTGTAACCGTAACCCTTAAAGCAGAACTACGCCAGATATAGTATTCATCTTCAATCCAAAGATTCCCCCCACCCCCCGCCAGGAGATCTGACCATTGAACGGTCTTCCATAACCTTCCTCTTCTTGTCTGGTCACCTCTATTGGTGACACTAATTCCCCCCGACACAGATAAGGGGAATATTTGATGTATTAGATCTCGGCCTACGCAGGTCAGGCTGACGGATCTCTGTAATGCGGGAACATTAATTCATCTTTCAGCGGAGTGATAACGACTTTAATTACCATATCATTTCTGATGCCGAAGTCCTTTCAAGTCGGATTCAATTATTTCCCAGCTTTCCATAATTTATGACACGACTATGAATACTGGAACTCCATCAACTTCACGAAAATGTAGCTGAAGGGAGAGTGACAACCTCCATCCTCCACTCGTGAAGTAGAGGATGCGAGGTTGTCACTCTACCTTCAGCTAGTCCACAACTGCAAAATCTCTTGCTTGAAGCCGATGTAACTGAATAACATTTCGTTGGCAAATTACTTTTTTAAAATAAAATATTTGTTGTCACCTTTTTATTCATCCTTTAACGCGTCTCAGCTCTGCTGATCTCCTGCAGCCACTTCCTGTCTACATAGACTCCATTGATGGCTGCATGGCATTTCTAGGGAGCGGGTTTCCTGATGGTGACAACAGCGGACCATGCCTAGGCAATGAGCATTGACGTGGCAGCTTGACAACGCAGGAACAGAATTGGGAGACAGGGATGGTGCGTTGTCATCCTATAACAGGAAGTGCCCAAACAAAGACCTTTCTGGCAGGATTTTCAGGA